AGATTCACTATAGGAAAGTCTGAAGTGACGCACTGGTGGTAATAGACTACCGTAGACAAAACCTGCCACCAGGCTCAGAGATATATAAAGTTACATTGACAAACTAGGCCTAGCATCTCAGGGCCCTCCGAATAAGAAAGCCCAGAGCAAAGCGTAAACAACATAAGAAGTATGACCAATGAAGAGGCCCTAGATAGTAGTACATAGTATATATACCTGAAAACCGCCATACTGTCGATAAATAGAGCACATCTCGATGTATCATTCTTCAGTGAGGTATGAACAATTTGGTTTTCAGCGCCACTAGCAAAACATCAAACATGCGGAGACAGGGGATTTCTGGCTCTTGGGACGCGTATCGAAGGAATCGCAAGCGACAACAGAATTTTACGTGAGGTGAGATGAAAGCAAAATTTTCGCAACTTGCTCTGCTATAGTGCAGATATTTTTAGGTAGGCAGCCAACTGGGGAAGGGAGCAAATGGTAATGGAGTATACAAGAACAGCGGAAGAAAGCAGAAGAAGAAAAAGATCAAGTCAAATCTGGAATTCTGAATGCTAAAATCATGGCCACATATCGCAAATGTAAGAAGTGAGCATGGACTCAGTTGGGGAAGAAAGGGAGTGGTGATGAATTGCTTTGCTGGCTGATCAACCAAGCAAATCATCAAAGGCCGAGCCAGACTGTTGCTTCTGCTGGGGCTGGCTGGGGGTGGAGACGGTGCTGGAGGGAGCTGGGGCGCCCCAGATGCCGGCGCTAGCTTTTTCCTTGGCCATGCTGGCCAGGTTAGGGCCCTTGTTTGTGCCGGTGTTGGTCTTCTGAATGCCGGCGCTAGCGCTAGCAGTCGACCACAACGAGCCGAAGGCGTCGCCAGAGGGCTTCTTGGCTGCTGCTGAAACTGGCTTGCTCGCTGTGCTTGAGGGGGAAGCTACGGAGGGACTAGCAGCATGAGAGGACCCGGAATGTTGGGGCACATGGACGGAGGTGAAATAGTTGGGTGTGGCAGCTTGGTACCCGGAGGGCTTCTGCTGTTGAATCGGGGCCATCTGGGAAAGGGGAGTAGCAATCCCGCTAGAAGAAGGAGTTGGGGTAGCTGATTTGAATCCAACCAAGCCGTTGATGTTGGCACCCTGCGAGGCCGAGATTGGCTGAGGCGCAACGAATTGGGTGTTTGAACTTGTGCTGGCGGTGGAAGCTGGAGGGGGAATGGCGAACTGGCTTGACGACTGAGTAGGCTGAGTAGCCGGGGTTGCGGACTGGAAGTCGTCGAACTCGTCGTCGTCGACTGGGGATGGGTCTAGCATATTGAGAGCACTGCTGGCGGGTTTCTTGCCGGCCGAAGTGGAGGCTGTGGTGGTGACAGGCTCGTCGTCGCCAAAATCGAAGAGATCCGCTACAGGCGCAGGAGCTGGCTCGGGCTTCTTTGCTTGGGGCTTCGCCCGGGTGGCAGGCTCACGCGGGCGCGCGGGGGCATCTGCCTCGTCATACTCGTCATACTCGTCGAAGCGGTTGGACCGGCGTCCGTTGTCCTGGAAGTCGACGCCAGCTTGCCCACCAGATTCCCCGCCAAAACCGCCACCGTCACCGTAGACGCCTCCGCTGTATCCACCGTACCCCATACTCTCGCTGCCAAAGCCGCCATAACGGCCCGAGCCCGAGCTGGAAATGCCCGTACCCATGCCACCCTCGAACCCACTGAACTTGTTGCGATTGTTCTTGGCCTTCTTTCTTTCGGTCCGAATCTGATCCACATCACCCAGCAATTTCACTAGCTCGGACGACCGGTTGCGCACATTGATACCCTGGTCCTTGCCGTTCATGTCGATATAGTGGAACTGCCGGAGCATCCGAATCAAGGACATGTGGGATCGTGCATCATCGACAACTCGTTCGGAACCGTTCTTGACAAGGAATTCGAGGAGCTGGAGACTCTATGATTTGGGGGAAAGATAGGGTCAGACATAGCACGCCCGCATAAATAACCATGCTTCTCGTACCTTATAGATCTGTCGCCATTCCTCTGCGGCCTTGTCGGTGAATCGCTTGTAGATAAGGGGCATGATCTCATTGAGTAATTGGCTGTGATAACGGAAGGTCAGCGCATGCGCAGTGGTGCAGATAATACCCGGCAACATGGACTAACTAGTTGTGTGTTCCATTGGCGATATCCTGCATCAACGTGGTCGATGCACCCCAGGGTTCATTGTTTGTAGCTTCCCGGACCTGACTTGTGTAAGCATTGTATCGCACAATCTTCTCAACTTCACCTGCGAGAGACCATGTTGGTTCGCGCAGAGGTGAGCGATTGCATACGAACCTTGGATTCCATCTCGGTATAGTTCATGACAGCTATGACGGAACGGCCAAATCAGTTTCGGTAAATCGTAAGACACATGCAAGCCGATTTCGCTTTGTTCCTAACGCAGTCGGACCAAGCGGGATTCAAACTTACCATTCTGTACCTTGCGAACACCTGCCTTGAGGTCATACAAGGACATGTTGCTGACCTGCTCTTTGAGGTTGGAGAAATCCATGGCGAGGGGTGACTGCTAGTCAAGACAAGTATGGGGAAACGAAGATCTGAGAAAAGGAGAATAGAAGCACAGGCAATTGAGAGCCGAGCACAGGAAGAATCAGAAATCCCTCAGGACTAACGTGGATAGTTGGAGGGGGGAAGATGCCCGGTTTCCAGCTGGCAACCCGATTGAATGCGCCACGTCACGTGGCAACCCCTGACCACGCCTGGTATACTTCAAATGGCTACAATAGAAGGTTATTCTACTTAAATTCCACTTTCTACCTCAAGTGTTTTCTAGAAATTTAAATTGCTTTACAATTGATACTGAATGGTACCGTACTGTGTACATGTTCGCCCGTATAAACCGAATGTTATCGCTATCGAAATCAACAAAATACGCGGTGAATCTTGTCCCCGGTCGACTCTCTCACGCTCGGTACTCGGGATTTCCTAGCAAAATCACATCGAGTCTCACCAGACTGGGCTCTTCGCATTTCGAATCATTGATATAATGAGTCTTTGCATAAACAAGAGCACTGCACTAGTCGGGTAAGTCTTCCTACATCTATACCATAGGCCGAAGGTTACTTTGGCTATAGTTACAATGAACTTTAGCCCAACCCCGATTTGGGAACGGCGCTCGTTAATAATATCTCATCACATATACTCGTACATAATACAGCATTCTGTTTCCTTCGCCTTTCTTTCTCTTTGTCTTCACTGGTGCCACCGAGTAATATGAAACGTTAGGGAGTCTACCATTCGAATATAGGCCGGGATTTAGGCCCGTCAGAAGGTACGCTAAACTCGAAGGACGTGCAGCTATTCGTATGCGTCGACTTAAATATGGTAACCTCATTTTCGATATCCGAGTCTTTATGGATATTATAATAGCCGAATATGTTCTCCTAGAAATTGTTTAACGGGAATAAGCTCTAGAGAATAAGGCTCGGTTATTAGAGAAGATCGCCACTAGTAAATATGAAACGGAGCTTAGTGGCCTCTTATAGGAAAACAGTAAGGCTAAGTGGGAGTTTTACCTCGCCGAATTAATACTTCCTCTCGGGCCGGGGAAACGGTCCTATAATATTTTATAATAAAATCTAACTTAGTATTTTCGGTGAGAACTAGTTAAAGACTATGCGAGAAGAGGTGGCTACTACGGTCTAATCTATAGGTGTTATATAACTCGCCGGTTAGTAACTAAACGAACTAAAAGGATTAGACATTATACACCTTCGTGTGAGTGTTGTTTAAATAGACGAGGCTTCGAGTATACCACGCACTAGAGGTAAGAAATGGTCCTTAATCTTAAGAATCGTTTTTACGAGCATAACCCGGCATATATTATCAAGGTGGCGGAGGCTTTTTTTCTAAAGCCTCGGGGCGTGATATTTCACCAATGGAAGCTGATGTTTGGAATGGTTTGAATATCAGAGAGATGTTGCTTATAGCTTAAATATGTCAGGTGTACCTACATGTTGGTACAGTTTACTACTATGTGGTGACTGTTGCTACTAGAATCCATATGTACCATTGCAAGGTCTCGTGGAATGTATATTGCTCAGATTAATAACTGTTTGAGCCTCGCATATGTCACACAATCCCCCTACAGGTATGCTGAAGAAGCCATATATACGGGGCGACTATGTGTACCACCTGGACACAACTCTTTCATTGGATTATATTGCCAGGTGATAGTTAGTCGTCCACTCTCACTTTCTAGGTGTATCAACTTGCTTACCATATTTATACTCTAAGTGCTTTTAACTGATACTCCATGGTAATTCCATACTATAAAATAGTTTAATGTCTTTCTTTAGAAAAGAAACCCCAAAAGCGTAGTATAAAAGACCAGTAAAAAGACCAGATAAGGAGTAGTATTAAGCCTACATAATTCACAGTGCTAAACTAGTGTACTATTTACTCTAGGTTGGCTTAGCATTCTACCCTTCCTTGGCTCCTCGGGTCTTAACTTCTTAGGTACCCCTTTTCTTACGAAGTAGTATACAGATTGAAATATATACTTCGAGAATGCGGTGATAACTTACGGTCAGGCGTTATCCAATAAAAGAGTTAGGTCTAACTGGCACACTTAGTCACCCATACATATATTCCTTTTGCTTGTTACACCCGTGGTATCTTAAACAAAGACAATAAGAAGAGAGGGGAAAATATCCCTAACCAAGTCTTGTATACTTTAAACGGCTATAATAAACGATCATTCGACTTAAATTCTACTTTCTACTTCGAGGGTTTCCTGGAAACTTGAGATTGTTTTACAATTGATACTGAATGGTATCATACTGTGTACATGTTCGCCCGTATAAACCGAACGCTATCGCTATCGAAATCAACAAAATACCCATGGTATCTTAAACAAAGACAATAAGAAAAAAGGAAAAAAAAAAGACAGGAAATAATAATATCAATAAGAATGTGCACCCAATTCATCCCTCATCAAGTCCATAAGCCGTGACTCTCACTCATTATAGAACTTCTTCATGATCAAATGCAAGAAAAGGTTGACATTGACCCGCATCTGTCCGTCAAAGAAGTCCATGAATTGCGTGTTGTTGAACTGAGCTTGCAGCAAGTCGTCCAGCGGTACCTGTGCATTGGCGCCGGGAATCATCATGACACCGCTGCTCCCATCGATGGTAAATACACCAACTTCGTTACTTGAGATGGTCAAGTCGACCCGATCCCACTGCCGCTCAGCGTAGCCCTTCCAGGCAACCAGAACACCTCGGTCCGCCAGAGTGCGCGCAGAGTATTTGTAGGATCCAAATTTGAAGACCTTGCCAGATTTTTGCAGCTCTCGTTGATGATCCCATTGTTTGGTGAACGGCATTAGGAATCGCTTCTTTCCCTTCTTGTTCTGTAGCGTGATCATTGCCTGCTCAATGTAGTCGTTGTATGTCTTGAGCTGCCCTTCCAGGTAGACAGCTTGGCCGCTGAGTCTCTGGGAGGTCAGCCGAGCACCCTCCAGTTCACGCTCTCGCTGAATTCTCCGACGATGCTTGGTGCGGATATCGATGGCGATGGCGTTCAGCAAATCCTGATAATGGTTGTGACGATTGATCTTGCCATTCTGTTCAAGCCGAAGGATATTTTCGAGTGCAATGCCCTTGAGCTCAGCATAGCTCATGGCACTGATGTCAATTAAGCTATTAGCTTCAGAGTAGGCGCCTCGGCGAGGGTTGTTGGTGTTCAGTTCTTCTCGAACCAAAGTGTGCCACCGCTCTTCATCTTCGGCTGTCGGTGATTTGAGCATGACGTCCATTAGGTTGGCACCGCTTTGGACTCGGATGATGTAGAGGATGCAGCGCTTAGTCTCCATAAAGAGCGTCTTCATATCTGCTTCGGGGTCTGGGAGGTACAGTTAGAAAAATGAACAGGTAAGGGCTTGCTTGCATTTCTTACCTTCAACCTGGGCCAGCTTGGGATTCAATGTGAGATTGATCTCGGTAGAGCTGACCCCCATCAATTCGTTCTCGTTACTCTTGACGCTGCCAAGTTCTCGCACAAGTTCCTTGAGGAAGTCATCATGGTGGGGGCACATATAGTTAATCTCAGAGGCCACAAGCTGGTGAATTGAGAAGATGTCAGACATCTTAATGTACAGGGTAGGCTTGGCCTTGGCATAGAGATCGTTGAATTCATCGATGTCGAAATAAGCCTCTGCATCCTGGACTGAGATCATTTGGCCCCAGATACGCCCTAAGCGCTGGATTGACTCTCCAATGTAGTTGTTGAGCGGCTGGAGATAGACATTCTCCGCCCCAAAGAGTCTGCCAGATGCAATCTGAGCAACAACCTTTGAAATTTCTCCAAGATTTCGCTTTTGTTCTTGGGTGAGGCCTCGATCGATCACACCATACTTCTCTGGCTCCAGCACAGCAGGCTGGAAGTAATTTTTCCATACCCAGTGGCCGACCGTCTGAAGAATGAATCCCGGGTCCTCACCAGAGAATCTCTCGAGTAGATTTTGATACATTTGCTGTGCCAGATATCTGATACCGAATGGCATGCGGTACAGGAAGTCCTCAAAGCTCAAGAATAATTGGTCAACAATGTCACGAAGATCTTGCAAATGTTGAATGAATGTCTCTCTGGTTTCAGGGTCTCTGATCGCCTCTTCTCTGGGGAGATCCGGTTGTCGGCGACTTCGCTGGCCCGTTTGGAGCTCCTCGTTGTTGATTGCGGAACGGTAGATTTGAATCGGGTCACTCTCCAAATCAAGGTCCGGATTATCGATCACAGACTCCTTTACAACAGCCCCCAAGACGTCGCGCATGAACTTCCGGTCGCGTGATGACTTGGCATATGAGGCGAAAAGCTTGTTCCAGAAGGAGGTGCAGCGCAAATATTCAGGAAGAGATGTGAAGCTTTCAATATCCTCCTTGACGGATCGTGCCAGGAGCTTAATAAGATAATACTCCTCGCGTCGTTTCTGGGAGTATCCAAAGAGACCCATCATCAAGTGCCGGATCCGCTCATATTCCTTGTCCGAGGTGTTGATCTCGCGCAATCGCCGGAACAAGCGAGCCAGGTACTGTGATTGGGTTTGCAGAAGGAAGAAAAACACCTGATACTGATCCAACTTCCTCCTTGAGGTCTTGTTAAGAGCTTTGAGATCGTATGGATCCTTGGAAGAAATCTCAGTGTTGGATAGCAAGTTGCCAATGTGGCCACCGAAGTGCTTTTGATGCTTGACGACTTCATCCAGAGTAATTTTGTTCTTGACAAGGAGAGCAATCTTGATATCAAGTTGACTGATATATTGTTCAGCAAGCTCGTTTTGTCGCACTTGTTGGACAACCACCTTTCGCAGGCGCTCGAACTCGATCTCTTCGTCAAAGTCAAAATCGCTGTCATTGAGAAGATGCACGAAGCCCTTGACAGTTCCAACAGGTGGGTTCTTTCCGCTTGTTAGGCTCTTATAAGCCTGGCCTTGAATGCGGGCTCGAATAACACTCTGGGCCTTGATGACTTTCTCCATGTTTTCATTATAATGTTGACGTCTTTCCTCGAAGCGGTTGCAGACAATGAGTCCTCTAATCCGTGCTTGGAAGTCCGTGATAAAGTCCTCCTCTACCTCAAGATCAGTCAGGATCTCACCAACTTCAACTCGTGCAAGCATTGCCCGAGTTAAAGATTGGAGTTGAACAACTTCTTCCTCACTCTCCTCAAGGCGAGACAATATATCGCCTACCTCCATTCGTGAGATAGCAGCACGGGCAAGGGCTTGCAAATCAACAATGGCATGTTCTTCTTGCTCTAGTTCGTCTCGCTGTGCAAGTAGATAATTCCTGTGAAGGGCGCCACGGGATCGGGACTGGAGTTCCAAGATAGAAGGCTCTTCCTCGAACAATGCGGTCCTCTGGACATCCAATGATTCTCTCAGAGCTTGCCCCCTGAGAATAGACTGCAGGTCGATCACTGGCAATACATGTTCCGCAAGCTCGGTGCGAATGGCTGAAGTGCTTTTTCTTACAGCAGCGGCCCGCGCGATAGCTTGTAGTGCAACACACTCGTTTTCGGTTTCTTCTAGTGCGTCCAGCAGCAGGGTTTGGCGTTCTCTGGCAATCAGAGCCCTGATGGTAGATTGAATACAGATCATTTGGGGCGCTTCATTGTTGAGTAGGACCTTCATCTGAGACAAATTTTGACGGGCAATCGACCCTCGAATAACCGCCTGCAGCGACTTGACGGGTGTTTCAATAAGCTTCACCTCGTGGGAGTGAGCATTCATCTGTCTTCGCTGCAAGGTGCCACGGATGGCAGCTTGGAGCGACTTGACGGAACTGCCAACCTGCTTCACCGCTTGAGATTGAGCATTCATCTCTCTTCGTTGCAAGGTACCGCGGATGGCAGCCTGGAGCGACTTGACGGAACTGCCAACCTGCTTCACTTCTTGAGACTGAGCATTCATATGTCTTCGTTGCAAGGTACCACGGATGGCAGCCTGGAGCGATTTGACAGAATTGCCAACTTGTTTCAGCTCGTGGGATTGAGCATCCATCTGCTTGCGTTGCAAGGCGCCGCGAATGAAAGCTTGAAGTGACTCCACATCATTTTCAGCATGTCGAGACTGTTCGTATTGGTCGCCAACATTCATGCGCTGCAATGCACCTCTTATCGCGGCCTGGATCTGCTTGATGCCCGAGTCTTCTTGGCGTGCGCGAGTTTGTAGGTGACTAGCCTGGGCGCGAGCCCTGGACCCCCGAATCAGGCTCTGTAAGTCCAGAACATCCGTTTCCTGAGATTGTCGCCATTGCTTGTCGCCTTGTTGACCGCGACGTACAATGAAGCCTCGGCTAATAGCCTGCAGCCCAACTGCAAACTGGAGCATACTTAACCGGTATTCACTAATCTGTCGGGCCCAATCTCCGCGCAGACGTGACTGTAGCTCAATGAGGAGGGGTTCAAAGTCCCAAAGGTCGTTCATCGTGTTGCCCAGCTGTAAACGCAACATAGCTCCCCTGACCTGAGCCTGGAACTCGCAGATTGAGGCTTCATTCTCGTGCATTTCTCGATCAATACGATCCTCCTCTGATTCAACAGGCTCGGGCTCAGGCTCGGGTTCAGGCTCCGCGCCAAAGTTTGCAGCCATACCCGCAAAGCTAGGCATGCTCACACCGGCCTTGTCCAGTCCTTTTTGGGTTTTCTCAAGTTCGTGATGTTCAAACTCAAGCTGGCCAACCAGATTACCCATGCGGAAGTCCAGCATGCCATTTTTGAAGAGCAGCCATGACAACGCATGAATACAGTGTATGACCTTGGGGAGGTTCTTCTTTTCATACAAGTCAATGAGTTCGAATCGGAACAACTCTGGCAACTCTATCTCATCGAGGAATCGGAAAAACAAAGCGATGTTGTCTGAATGGCGATATTGTAACTTGGGGTGTCGGAAAATGCGAAGGGTTTTGCCCGCGTACATTGCTTGCACCACCTCCGCCAAAGTGACGCCGTCTCGCAGTCCTTCCTCCAGCTGAACGATTGGCGGGATTTGCTTTTGAATGACGTCTTCAATCCACTGTTTGGCTTCTCCGATATGGCACAAATACTCGTATGCTTGGATGAATTGTCGCTGCTGGTCCATCCAATTCCCGGCCGCCCATGAGGATGCCTTCGGCTTTTCGGGAGATACTGCTCCATTTCTTCCGGCTACTGATCCCGCTCGCTTAAGACGTCGTCGGCCTTGCAAGCCCACCACAGAGGCTGCGGCCGCACCAAATTCGTTTTCGCCAGACTGTGCAAACTTCGAGAGAGTTCTGAGATGACCCGTGGATGATTTTTGCAATCCTTCAAGCTCGGGTGCGGAGAGTGCAGCAGTCAGCTGCGGAGGATGAGAACTGTGAGGAGCTGTCTTTTGGGGAGACGAAGGACGCGAAGTTCCGGGCACATTAGACCAGTGGCGAGGAGAGGTGGGCGGTGGAGGGCTCTGGGATTCGTAGGCGAGTGCTTGATGACGCGGAGACTGGTTCTCTTGAAGATTGAGATGACGGGATTCGGGGGTGGCGGGTCGATAGTCCTTCCACGGTCGTGGTTCACCAATTGTTTGGCTTCGTGAATGTCGATACCCGCCAGTATTCGCGGTTGAGGATGATGTATTAGGGGCTTGTTGTAGTGGTCGTAGAGATCGGCGAATATTGTCGTACGCTGTACCAGCATTTGTCCAATTTCCTCGTTCCATTGCGTCTGTAACAGTCGTTGCTGAGCTCATACTACTTGCCTCACTCTTCCCTCGGGAGTGACCCAAATTGTGTGATATCGACGCATTAGAGGAGACAGTGCTAGTCCTACTAGGAGCAAATGTACTTGATGCGACGGAATATGCAGATGAGTTTGTGGACGCTGTCGACCCGTGTCGTAATGGGCTGGTGGACTGGGAGGGAAGGTCCGTCTGGGCCCGCTTGAGGGATGGAAATTGAGTCGACATCATTTAATCTCAGGGCGGTATGCGAAAATGGATTGAAAAATGTCGCGCTCCTTTGACCGCATCCCTGCTCTGGTGGTCGAAGCGGAATGCGCAGGTTAAACAAGGTCAAGACCTTTTCCGGAGACACGTTCGTTGGATAACATTCAAGGGCAACCTCCCACGACTCGAAGAAAATCCAATCAATCCGCGAATTATGTCGATAAGCTCTGGGCTCGTGAATCACCGATGTGGAATTGTTGACGGTGGGGGTGCAAGTGCGACCAAGATTCCCCAAAGTGGGCGCAGGGGGCACAACAAATCTCTAGATCGGGTATAGCGCAATCAGGTGATTGTGGCTTGTCGATCTCGAATCACGTGAGATGGAGAACTAAGAGATTGTATTACTCGACAAGTCACACCCCTGGGCATGGATCGCTGAATTGCTTTTCATTTGCAATTATTCGAAATCGCAAAGGTTGCTCACAATATTCCGTAAATTGCTCGATATTCTGAACATTCCCTCCAATCCTAATTATCTGACCTACTAGGATACCTGCAGTCTTGGCAAAAGTGGCTTGTGCAATTAGGCAGGTCTAAGTGGGCTCGTAGTCCCGTGCGACCAACACATCTTTCAAGTCAGTACGATGTAGACTTTTGTAGACCGCCAATTGATCCGCATAAATATGTACTCGGTAGCTGGTAACCTAGAGCTTTGATTGCTTCTGATATGGACTTGCCTCTATTTTTAGTTTTTTTGCATGTTCCCCCATAAATATCGTGCTCGACATGAACAATCCTCGTTATCTTGTTGATATATGTTGCAAGACATCCATGAATCTACAACATTGAAAACTTAAGTAAGATAAGCTTGATATTAAAAACCGAATTAAGACATGATTTCAGATTTCTACCCAATTTTGGTGTCCTATATATACTCCAGAGCTGGAAGTACAAAAAATGGTGCAATAATTCGCGTTCAAAAGGCAAGTTGCCGGTTAAACCGACCCCGCCAATGAAACCACCTGACAACCTTAACTTTGTTTCTCTCATCACCAAGTGACTCGGTGAATTAATTTACTTATTCTCATCACTTTCATCATGGCATCGCTGCTTTCTCAACCTCGCTACATCTACAAGATTGTGCCTTCCACCGCACCAGTCCGCGAGCCACTTCCTGAGCGACTCGCGGTAAGCGAACTAGACGAGGCCTCTAATTTCATCCACCTCTCGATGGCGCATCAGGTGGGAGACACACTGAAAGCATTTTTCACCGATGAACCACTTGTCTATGTATTGCGGATCGAGTATCATCGCGTGTGCCAGGATATCCGGTGGGAGTCCCCAGACGGAAAAGCGTCTGGTCCTCGGCCCGGCGAGGGACTTTTCCCAGTAAGTTGAATTTGTCAGTCTATAATTGACATTTGCTAAATAAAGCCTAGCATCTCTACAATGGACTCAAACTGGGCAGGGAGGAGGTTGAAAGTGTCGCCATCTGGCAGAATGACGAGGGATGGAACAACGCTCTCACTGCAGCGAAGCCGTGGCTCCTGTACTGATCTTATATCCCTTTGAATCTCAATTTGATACGAATGACAAGCACACGCTCGGCACAATGTTCCAGCGGCACCCCCCACTAATAGATACCACTCCCTGTAACATCATCTAGTCACCAAGCGGGTAGCAGTGCATCACTTGCCCATCTATACATATAGTGATGGTGTATTAGCCACAATATGAAAAAAAAAAGCTAAGTATTTGAAGGTGTTGGATATTGACCACTCACAGTATAGAGAAGAATCCGCACTAGCCAAGAATACGAAGCTTGTGGCAACCTCACTTGGCTCACCATGTCGACCAAGACCAGATTTGTGACCTCACCCTTCCATCTGTTGGCATCTCGGGTGTCGACTTGAATTGGGGTATAGATCGCACCCGAACTAAAATTGGGAACGTGTCAGTACGTACTTGCAAAGAGTAATGAATGGATGATCCTCACGCGACTGCCGACCCGGATACCCTTAGGAATCAAGTATGTTGCTAAAGCCGTAGTAAAACTAATGATGGCTCCATTCATTGCAGCATAGTCAATCATGGTCCCAGAGCCACGGAAAGCCACAATAGAAGAAGTATTGGTGACCCTGCAGCAAGTGTGAGAGTACATGGCCATATAAATTAGACCAGAAAGCACCTACGAATCTCCTCGTGTCATATGAGGAAGAGCAAACTTCGCCATCGCGATCATCTGGACGATATTGGTTCTGAAGATGTCTTCAGTCTTATCCAGATCGACGTCCTCAAATTTCGTACATAGGCACTGTTTCGACGCATTATTGACAAGTATATCAACCGTGTCGTATCTGTAGACTTTCGGGGTCAGTCATTTCCTGATATTTGGAACGGTACTCTAGGCTGAATTCTTCACATGTTCATCCACTGCATGTCGACACAAGTTGTGATCTCTCAAATAGGCTGGGATAAGAAGGCAAGTCCGCTTCTCTTGCTCAACAGATTTTTTAGTTGCCTCTGTGTCTGGCTGTTCCGAGGGCAAATAAACGATAGTAACATCCGCACCCTCTCTGGCCATCAGAATAGCAACTGATCGTCCAATCTTAGAACTAAGGAATGATTAGCCCAAGATTGTTCCTGTGAACTTGGTACTCACACTCTCCGCCAGTAATTAGGGCATTTTTGCCCTTCAGCTTTCCGGAACGCGTATATTCAGAAAAGCCGTGGGAGCCCTCCAGTTTGTTGATTCACTAGCCTCTGTCATTATGCTCTCCAATCTAGCACGCCATTTTAGTTCAAATACTCCGCCCGGGTAAAATATTACTCACCCGGCTTATTCTGAGCCTGCACCGACGGTGCAGGCTTGAAGGCGCCATGTTAACCCATAGAAGACTCCATATTGAGAGCAAAAGTGATGCTTAGGGGAATTGGATAAAGGTGAAAAATCTTAAAGAGGCTGTATATACCATATTTGTTTCATTCTGTCGTCATGTTGCTAAAGAACGGGATTTGAAGCCGGTATCGGCGAGATTGCTGTCTCATTGCACAGCCAACCATGCCAATACAAGTTGGATTTTGGTTCATGCGATGGCTTTGTACACATATAGGAACCAAGAATGGCATCTTGACAAATAGAACCAACTGACATTGGACTTTCACTACCAACTTCGAAAGCTGTGCTGTACGGTATTCGATATTTATGTCCAGCGCATTGGCAAAATATCTTTCACAAAAGGAGTGAATATCAGATTCAAACCTAACAATATAATATTCCACTGAAGATCTTAGCACCATCTGCATGTATGGATGTACTAGGCTAAGCATAAACAAGCTCCCGCGGTCACCGCCTTGAGGGATCTCGTTTACGAGCCAATCAGCAGAGAGGATAGTGAAAAAACCAGTACGCTATACCTGAAACAGACAAGCTCCATCATGGCTTGGCCGTGCACGGAACAGAAAAGGAAACAATTTTTCGCCCGAACTTTTTCTTCTTCTTTCTCTTCCTTGGGAAAGCTCGACTTTCTCCATCAGCAGAACGTTTCTTTCTGTTGATTAAGATTTTCCCTCGGGTCGTGTCTCACTCGTTATTTCAAACACTCCTTCTATAATCATGCCTATCACTGCTGGTGACGCAGCACCTGGTGCCGCCATGAAGGCTGAGATCACCGACTACGCCAAGGCCATGGAGGTCTTGGATACCTATACCACCCTTGATGGTCTTGATGCGGATACCTTGCTTGACTCTGACAAGCACGGCGCATTGACCTACAATGATTTCCTGATCCTGCCCGGTTACATCGGTAAGCCGAACTTTACAGTCCAAAACGAAATTTCTTCCATTTTTCTAACCGATATAGGCTTCCCCGCTTCCGATGTCTCTTTGGAAACCCCTGTTACCAAGCGTATCTCCCTGAAGGCCCCTCTTCTGTCCTCCCCCATGGACACTGTCACCGAGCACAACATGGCTATTCACATGGCCCTGCTCGGTGGCCTGGGTGTTATCCACCACAACTGCTCTCCTGAGGATCAGGCAGAGATGGTCCGCAAGGTCAAGAGATACGAGAACGGTTTCATTCTGGACCCCGTTGTCATTTCTCCTAAGGCCACCGTTGGTGAAGTCAAGGACCTGAAGGCCAAGTGGGGCTTCGGTGGCTTCCCTGTCACTGGTAAGATACCCATATCTACTTCTCCTCCCAGCACCTACCCACCCACTTTGCATGATGACCAAACTTCTTTAATTATAACTTTCGTTCCACTGCAGCGACGAAAGTCGCACTGTAGAGAACCAGATTTTATCTGAGCAATTTGCCTATTTTGGATATTGTCCTCACATGAGTTTTTGGCAGCAAATGCTAATGTTTGAACATAGAGAACGGAACCCTCAAGTCCAAGCTCGTTGGCATGGTTACCTCGCGTGACATTCAGTTCCACCCCAATGACGACGAGACCGTGACTGCCATCATGGCCACGGATCTTGTCACTGCCCCCGCCGGTACCACCCTGGCCGAGGCCAACGAGGTTCTCCGTCAGTCCAAGAAGGGAAAGCTCCCCATTGTTGATGCCAATGGCAACATTGTCTCTCTGCTTTCCCGCTCTGATCTGATGAAGAACCTCCACTACCCCCTGGCCTCTAAGCTCCCCGACTCCAAGCAGCTGATTTCTGCCGCTGCTATTGGTACTCGCGAGGAGGACAAGACGCGCCTCAAGCTCCTTGTCGAGGCTGGGTTGGACATTGTTATTCTGGATTCCAGCCAGGGTAACTCTATGTACCAGATCGAGATGATCAAGTACATTAAGAAGAACCTGCCCGAGATTGACGTTATCGGTGGTAACGTCGTCACCCGTGAGCAGGCTGCTGCTTTGATTGCCGCCGGTGTCGATGGCCTGAGAATTGGCATGGGCAGCGGTAGTGCCTGCATCACCCAGGAGGTTATGGCTGTCGGTCGTCCCCAGGCTGCTTCCGTGCGCAGCGTTGCATCCTTTGCCGCTCGCTTCGGTGTTCCCTGTATCGCCGATGGCGGTGTCCAGAATGTTGGTCACATCGTCAAGGGTCTGGCCATGGGTGCCAGCACCGTCATGATGGGCGGTCTCCTTGCCGGTACCACCGAGTCTCCCGGTGAGTACTACGTCAGTAACGAGGGCCAGCTCGTCAAGGCCTACCGTGGTATGGGCAGTATCGCCGCCATGGAGGACAAGAAGGCCGGTGGTGACGGAAAGGACAGCAAGGCCAGCAACGCTGGTACCGCCCGCTACTTCTCCGAGAAGGACCGCGTCCTTGTTGCCCAGGGTGTCGCCGGATCCGTCCTCGACCGCGGTTCCGTCACCAAGTTCATTCCTTACCTCTTTGCCGGCATCCAGCACTCCCTGCAGGATATTGGTGTCAAGAGCCTGGACGCTATGCACGAGGGTGTCAACAACGGCACCGTCCGTTTCGAGATGCGCAGTGCCAGCGCCATGACCGAGGGTAACGTCCACGGTCTCCACAGCTACGACAAGAAGCTTTACTCGTAGGATCCAAGCTTTGTAAGAGTTGACTGGAAAAATTTGTGAATACATCATTGGGGTGAACCCCGGTGGATGATGGGGCCTGAAAATTAAAATAAGGGTACAGGATAGGAGTTTACGATTTGAAGATTTAACGCCATTTCTAATGAGCAAACATGTTTAATTTCTCTTTAATATATTCCAAATGTAAACGTCGCGTAGAGCCCTGGAGGTTTTATAGAAGCCCTGGGGATTGCCCAAGCACATGGCGCCGCATTCGGCTAAGCTCGATGAGGTTAAGCTTCACGCGGGGTAATGAACTGCCCGACCAACTGCCTAGGTTCTCGGGTCTTTGCCGTTTACTATAAACATTGAGAAGCCGTTTTTCGGCTTCGAGATCTTAAGATGTCCTTTATCTATCAAGAATATCTTTGTCGTCACTTAGCACACCGATTGAGTAATCGTTTTGCTGTTGACTTTCGGATATCTCGTGTACCTCACATTGCCTCGGTTCAGCCCTTTCAACGGCCAAGCGGCAAACCTGCTTTAAGACAATACACAACTACAACTTCTTCAATTCCTCAGATGTCTCGCTCAAAACGTGATAGTGAGCTTACGGTGCCCAGGCCCAGTTCTAGGTAAGCCAGAGCAAGGGACCACATGACAGATATCTAAAGAACAATGTCATCAGAAGGGAGGTATTCCCAAAAACAGAAAGGCAAAACTAACTATTCTATAGTGTGCTCCTTGTATCTTCAAAGAACGAGATCCTTCTTCTTCATCGCGTGAAGACCTCTACCTCTTTTGCATCTGCCCATGTCTTTCCCGGTGGCAACCTATCCATCCAAGATGGGGAATGCCCACCACCCGAAGACCTAGCACGGCATGAAGATTCCCCTAGCTACCGACGTGCAGCTATCAGGGAACTCTTTGAAGAGAGTGGAATTCTTCTGGCTAAAGACCGAAACTCCGGGAAGATGCTTGCCGTCGACGAGCCTACCCGAGAGGCAGGAAGACGACTCATTCATCAGAATAAGACCACGTTTGATGAGTGGCTAAAGCAGCAAAGCGCTGATGCAGAGCCCGATATAGGTCAGTGCATAATTTGCGTAATTGAGACCCGAAACCAGCATGCTAACCCTACAGGCCAATTGATTCCCTTTACTCGCTGGGTTACGCCAACCAATGTCCCCAAGCGATACACTACTCAGATGTACCTCTATTTCTTGCCTTTGCCCGCCAAAGTGGATAAGAAGCTCCTCGACCAACTTCCAGTAGAGGGCGAACGCGAGGAACATGAGATCCCAACGAGTGATGGTGGAATCGAGGTTACGGAGGCACAGTTTCTTCCAGCCTCGGCGTGGATTAGTCGTGCTCAAATGGGAGAAATCATTCTATTTCCACCGCAGTTCCTTCTGTTGCATTTGGTGTCAGGATTCCTGGACAGGGAGCCTCGCACAGGTGGTTCTGCGGAAGAGATAGAGAACCGTCGTCAAGCGCTTGTCGAGTTCGTCCATTCAGGTTCTCCCCCATGGACAGAGAAATGCATATCTCCAAAAATGATTCAGATGACCAGTGATGGGCGATCTGTGTTGGGTCTGAATGATCCTGGATCCGAGCTGAAAGGGTCTTCCAAGCGAGGAGAGCCCGACAGAGTGGTTATTGTGCGGTTTAAAAAAGGGAGTGTACGAGAGGTGACTGTAGGATGGAAGAAAGACGTGTTGAAGGAGGAGAGGGAGAAGAGTAATCTGTAAAATACATACATTTACCCATACATAGTACTACATCCATACCAGCAATCGATGTCCACGGATGAACCGAAGTTGAAATTGCCACGGCCTCCAAGTATGATTTCCACTAAAGCCACGCTTGCCCCACTTTGGCCACGCCAGCCCTCGATAAAGGGTCACATGACCCACACAAATCATTTGAGGTCTTCAATTTAATGTGCGGCAGAAAAACCCTCCACCTCCAACCTCACCGTCGCCCGTCAAAACCTCAACACCAAACCCGCCAAAATGGAGAACGACAAGGGAGAGATCGTCGATCTGTACGTGCCATGGATTTTACACCCGTTCCCACAGTCCCAATATACCCTATGCCCTGTGTCTGCGTGGTCGCATACAATCAGCAATCCCGCCTCGATCCCAAGCCCAAGAGATGGACACGGTGTGATGGGAGAGTGCAAGGATTGAAAAAAAATCCTCCGCGCTGCGTGATTGCGATCGTTGCCGAGCCACTAGAAAACCCAGGGCATAACAGGGCGTTGGAGGGGAACATATTCGCTCGCAAAAAACCAAGAAAAGAACCCAGACAACTAACATGACCTCCCTCTCAACAGCTACGTGCCCCGCAAGTGCAGCGCCACCAACCGCATCATCAAGGCCAACGA